CTGATAGCTCCGAGGTGCAATGGATGCCTGTGTCCAGTAGGTGGTGATGACGAAGCCTNGAGGGGAGGGGAGTTCCTCTCATCTCCCTCTCATTCCGGCGCGGAGCATCGCCGAGCTGCGGGAATCCCCTTTGAAGTTCCGAGGCGCAGCAACTCTCGCCTCGCTTCAAATTCCCAACTGCGAAACCTGCCCTCTCATTATCTCCGGCCCCGTCTCGGCTCAGAAGGCGGTGGCGATGGAGTGACAGGACGAGCAAACGCGTTGCGGGCGGCCGTTTCCTGCTGGGCCCCGCCGTCCCTGACACACTTCAGGCTGCCGAGAAGAGTGGCGATTTTCTCACCTTCCTTCGAATCCAACCCCACCCCCGCAGCTCCAGCCCGCGTCCGCCCTTGCAAATGGCTTGAGCTGCGACGCGCAATTTCTTTTCTTTTCTTTTTGGCGGCACACCTTTGATCTCCTTTGTCAAAACATTTACTTTGAAATTCACCGGCTTTGGGAATGGTGGTGGTGGGGGGGTTTGGCATAGGAAGGGGGCGAGGGGGAGGAGGAGCCATCCGGCAGCCCAGGGTGGAAACCGACCAGCGGGAGTTCTCCTTTTAGACGCAAACGACCTCGGTCGCGGCCCGATCCGAGCGCTTCTTTCGGCTTTTTGAAACTGATCAAAAGGCTCGTCCTTCGAGATGCGCGAGCCGAGGAGAAGCGCCGGCGGAGAAGAGATGGCACACATTCGGAGGCTGTTGTCACGCAGCAAGTGGGTCATCTGAAGAAGCCTTGGTTGGTGGGGGAGCGGGGCGGGAGAGAGCTGCCCGTTTCTAGCTTTTCGGCGGAGGAGTGGAAGATCTAGGGCAGGGTTGGGGCATGCGCGGCCCTCCGCATAATCTGACTACAACTCCCATCAGCCCTAGCCAGCAGAGTCAAGGATGATGGGCATCGCTATCACACACCGCCTGGAGGGGCCTCACTGTAGCCTAAAGCTGATGAGAAGGCTAGGTATATAGACTGTGGCGCCAGCCTTTGGGGCAGCATCAATTTCCCAGCAGGGCTGCCGGGAAGCGCCCCATCTCGGCGCCGCCCAGGAGCTGCAGCTGTCCGTGGTGCTGAACTTATCCGAGTCAATAGTCCCATCGGTAGAATGACTCTCAGGCAGCAATCTGATGCCCACTTACTGTATTGAGCAGTTTGCCTCATTGAACCCAATCTTTTATTTACTCCATTTTGGATAATAGGGTTTTCAAATTAAAATGTTCAGAAATGTTGTGCAGTGCTAACCAAAGTAAACTTGAGTGCCATGGGCTGCCACAGTGCCACTGAAAGTTCTTCCGCCTGTTCTCTTATCAACATTCTTCTTGCAGTGTCACCTTCCACTACTACTGTCAGTTGAGTTGTCCTTTAGGAGTCACTCCACTCCCATCACTAATGGCACTATCAATTCCCCTCTACTATGACCTGGAAAGGGTTCCCAATAATGCTGGGAAAACTTGAAGGCAGCAGGAAAAGAGGAAGACCACATATAAGAGGGATTGGCTAAATAAAGAGAGCAACAGCCTTGATTTCACAAGACCTGAGCAGGACTGTTGATGACTCAGTTCAGAGTTGCTATAAGCCAGAGGTGACTTGACTGCACATAACAACAATAGAACCTACTTTTCAGCAGGCATTCATGTGGGACATTCAAATTTCACATTTCCTCCCAGTGATCTCAAGGAAGCCCAGAGAGCCTTCTTCATCCCCATTTTATCTTCACAAAAGCCTTGTGAAGCAGGAAACACATAGAGAACATGCCTAGCCTGAGATCATTCAGTGACTTTCATGGCTTGATGGAGGCGTGAACCTGAGTCCCACACCATCAATCCAACCACTTCACCTAATAGCGCATACAGGATTGCACTGTAAGGCTGCAGTCATAGGTGATGTGATCAAGTCTTGCTACACTTAAGCAGACATTTCCATTACATTCAGCTGAATTCAGTGCCTTTCATTATTGTAGCAGGACTACTTCCTCAAAAATTGCTAAGCCTAGTGTGCCACATCCAAGTAAAGCCAGGTGCAAGGAAACTGAAAGTTTTACAGTCTTCTTCAGAGGCAGCGGCACACATGAATGGGTTTCACTTTCTTCTTACATTAATTCAAGCAGGAAGAAGTGGCTTAAGGTTAAACCACTGGGCCAATATTGCAGCTGCATGGAATAACATCTCTGTTCAAAATATAAAGGCTTGATGGATGTATTAAAGCAAACATTGTTTCTATGAAGTGCCATTTTGTGTATAACCCCAATCCCATCAAGCAACTATTTCACACAGGGAATCAGAAATGAGCAATATTACTTCACAGCATTTTACAATGGAGGTGCCTTATCTGGTATCCAATCTGACCATCTATTTTATATCACAGATACAATGTACAGTATGTGACCACTTCAAAGATAGTGGCTCAGGATCTACTGGCAGATCTCTGAGTGATCTTAAATAGATCAGCACATATTTTTGTTCCCGATTATTTAATAAGAGCAACAACAAAAATATGACTAGCCAGCGCCCAATTACACTGCTAAAATAAACAAACTTGTGAACTGCCCAGAGTAGTGCTTGCCCTGATGATGCGGTATATCAATCAGTCAATCAATCACTCTTAATCAAATATTTATTTATTTTATTTTGTTTTATTTATATCCCGCCTATCTAGTTGGTTAAGACCACTCTAGGCGGCTCTAAATAATTTTTTTTGGCTGACACTGATTGATTTATACTGCCCCCATTAGTACAAGTACTACACTAGGCAATTTAATGTTTAAAATGTGACTCCCACTTAAAAAAACCATTCAGCAATATGGTGGGGTCTTACAATGTAAGTCTAAAACTCATACAAAAAAAATTAACAGCAATATAAATGGGAATAGAGTTTGATTCAACACTGTACCTTGTTGATAGGGCTGGAGTTGATGATCCATAAGGGTTCTTCCAGCTCTGCCATTCTAAAATTATTTTTATTATATCACTTGTAGAATAATTAATGTAACTTAAAGACAATGTTAACTGCTTGCAATTTGTTTGATTTTTTTAGCGGTCCAATGAAAGGTATCACCTACTCTTACATTTATGTAATCTTGAAGACCACATGGCCTTTTCCTTGTTTATATGAAAGCAAAGATTATCTTAAGATGTTTTCAATTTTAATTTAAGTTGGTAAGTACTGCCTTCCAATACTTCATAGACTACATGTAATGTTTCTATTCAGCTTCACATTCCACAGCTGAAAACTCTTTCCATTTCCTCATTAATGTAATTCATTGATTTTTAGCAACTAAATTGATAGAATGGTACAGTGGATGTCATTAGTGAGCAAAAACCTTTCCATTTCCTCATTAATGTAATTCATTGATTTTATCAACTAAATTGATAGAATGGTACAGTCGATGTCATTAGTGAGCATAAAAAAACCACTTAGCTTAGCTCTGTTATGTCCCTCCTCTCTTACTGCTGGGTTGGGGAATCTCTGTTCCTCCAGATGGCTGACAAAATTTCACAATCCCTTATCACTGAACATTCTAATAATGTTTCCTCATTAATGTAATTCATTGATTTTATCAACTAAATTGATAGAATGGTACAGTCGATGTCATTAGTGAGCATAAAAAAACCACTTAGCTTAGCTCTGTTATGTCCCTCCTCTCTTACTGCTGGGTTGGGGAATCTCTGTTCCTCCAGATGGCTGACAAAATTTCACAATCCCTTATCACTGAACATTCTAATAATGACAGTAAAAATAGACCAAGACAGTCAGAGGACAAAGGTACTCCTGTCCTGCCTTGCCAAATATAGGCTGAAATCCTGTTGAGCAGTTATGCCAATGGTGTAACATTTGGAAGCATATTGCTACAAGTTCAGACTTCTCCATAGACATTATCTGTGCTATACAGAGTCATGCAACTTGGCACGCAACAGACAATGCCTATGGAGTTTTCTCAACATATGGCAATTCTTGTCTAAATATTACACCAACTACACAACAGGATTTCAACCATAGTTTGGCTAAGCAGCAGCTCTCCAGTTGTTTTGAACCCACCAGACTTAAACAGCACTGCCAATGGTGGGGCATGATGGGGGCTACAATCCAACTCTATCCGGACAACTACTGTTGCTTACTCTTTACTAGACACAAAAAGTTTTTTTCCCAGAAGAAAATGCTACTCATTGCTCATATATGCCTTGTACAGCAAGATACCCAAAGCCAAGGATACTTGAAAAGTATGTTGAGTTGTGCACCTTTATGACTCATTTCCAATGAGTCACCTCTCTTTGAAACGTAAGTCTGTCACTCCTAACAACTCAAATTATTCCAGAACATTTCAAGAAGAAATCAAGTTGCTTTCACACAATACTCAAGATAAGCCTTCCTCAGCCGGGCATCCTCTAGCTGTATGTGACTGCAGCTCTCATAATCTCAGCCAGCAATGGCCACACTCTTTAGTATGATGGGAGTTCTAGTCCAAGACAGCTGGAAGGAGCCAGATTGGAGAAGGCGGGTATCACTAGCAAACAAGTAAAAGTGCTAAATAATATGTTTGTGTCTTCGGAGATAAAGAAGACTAATAATGATGTATATGGTGATTTCTTACGGCAATTCACCTCCAAAAGTTGCATTTTTGTGTTATTCCAGCATACTTAGGCAAGAGTATTTAGGCATTGAGTAGGATCCTTAGTCCTTCTAGCCTAGTATTGTCTGCTCAGATTTGGCAGCAATAGCTGTCCAAGAGTTCAGACATGATTCTTTCCTAGACATACCCATTGATCCTGGTATTGTCTGATGGCATCACATTGCTCTGAGCGGCTTAGCTTCCAAAAATCAGATACAATAGATGTATTCAGGATTGCTAGACCTTTATACACATAGCAGTTACATCACAGCTTGATTTCTGATGCATGCCTTTCTATAACACTAGATCAAAGCCATCAACCAAAACAATAACCTTTAAAAATACACAGCCAACACTGTTTTGATGCTTGATTTAAAAACATTTTAATGGTAGTTGTTAAAATTTCCCTAAATGCTGTCCCCAATCACCATTGTATTCTGTCATCAAATCCTTGATAGAAAATGTTGTCTTAACTGTCCCCCTCTTCCCGTTCAGGTGTTGCAGAGGATTGCTCACTGTCCAGATGTCCATCGCATTCAACAGGATGCTCTGGGGAAGAGGGCAGAGAAGAACAAGGCAAGGGTGGGTCGGTTGGAGGGTGATACTCTTCAAAAAAACTATCAGGAGGATCAGATGGCATGCCCAAACTTGGTCTCAGAGGCCATGTTAAAGGCAGAATGGTCTCTTGAGGTAGGACAGAATACATGACAAACTCAAAGAGTCTGCATTGCCTCTCATGGTCAAGTTCTGGAGAGAAGGGATAACATCGCCGCACACTCTTCCACTGTTCTTGTAGTTGTCGTTTGAACTTGCTCCTGCGATTCTGGAACCAGATTCTCACCTAATAAGAAAAAGAAATGTTCATAGTCCTAGGGTGATCACTAACTGTAGCCCCCCCCCCTTCACTTGACCCTTCCAGCATAGCTGATCAGGGCCATAAAGGAGACTATGATTGATTGGTTCATTAATGTTATTAATTCATCACGGAGGGGATGCTTCCCTCCGTTTAAAAGAAACCATCATCCATCCCATCATCAAACACCTCCAGTTCACATCAGAGAGCCTTAACAATTTCCGTCCAATTGTTAACATACAGTTCCTGGAAGAGATGACCAAGGGAGTGGTGACAAATCAGCTTCAGTCATACCAGGAGGATCAGGACTGCCTTGACCCATTCCAGTCTGGATTCAGGCCATGACAGGGAACTGAGACAACACTGGTGGTGCTGCAGGATGACCTTTTAAGGGAGGCTGACAGGGGCAGATGCACCCTGTTGGTACTCCTAGATCTCTCAGCAGCTTTTGAAACCGTCAACCACGGTATCCTCCTGGACAGGATCTCTGAGGTTGGGATTGACAGTTTAGCATGGCTCCAAACCTTCCTTGAGGACCATGTCCAGAGACTTCAGCTAGGGGAGAAGGTTTCAGCATCTTGGACCCTACAATACGGGGTTTCTTAGCAATTGACATTATTCCCAATATTGTTAAGCTGTTGGGGGAGGTCATCAGGGGATCTGGAGTGAGGTGTCATCAGTATGCTGATGATACACAATTCTCTCTCTCTCTCTATTACCACCTCTGCAGTGGATGTCGTCCAGATGCTTGAGCATTGCCTGGTTTCAGTGTATTGGAATAGATCAGGGCTAACAAGCTCAAACTGGACCCGGAGAAAACAGAGATTTTGTAACCTATCACTGCAGAGGTGATAGGTTAGGGGGAATGGTTCCTAGGCTGGATCGTACTCCCCTCCAGTTTAGGGACCAACTGCATAATTTGGGCCCAGCTCTTTCTTGGGATTGCAGTCGAGATCAGCCTTTAACCAGTTTAGGCTAATCGCCCAACTTCACCCCTACCTAGACGAGGACTCCCTCAGGACTTTGGTGTAGGCCCTGGATCATCTCCCAGATCAACTACTACAATGTTCTGTACATGGGGCTTCCCTTGAGCCTGATCTGGACAAGTCAGTGGGCCCAGATTGTGGCAGCCAGACTGGTGGTGGGTGCAAATAAATTTAACCACATCGCTCTGGCTCACTTCCGCTGGTTCCCCGTGGCATCCTGGATCAGGTTCGAAGTTTTAACACTCACATACAAAGCCCTCCATGATTTGGGCCCCTGTTACTTGTCAGAGTGCCTCTCCTTAATATCATCCGCCCAACCCACAAGATCATCCCCGTCGTCGAGGCTCCTCCAGGTGGCCACCCTGAGGGAGGCCCATTAATCCCCGACACAAGGTAGAGCCTTCTTCATGGTTGCTCCATCTTTATGGAACCAGCTTCCAGAGGAGCTCCATCAAGCCCCTTCCCTGTTGAGATTTAGGAAGCAATTAAAGACATCCACTCTGGATGCATATGATTAGTCATTGCAATCTGTTTTTAGGGTTATTGTTGCTGCTTTTAATGTTTCTACATTTATTTTTGTTTTCTATTATAAGTGTTGTAACCACCCAGAATAGCACCTTGACACTAACTAATGGGAGTGTGATACAACGTCATTTCCAGTTTTTACAAAGAGCAACCGTCCAATGCTTAAAATTCTAACAATTCAAAGGTTTAAGAACAGAAATGCCTTCAGCTGCTTAAAATACAATGAGTGAGCTCCCTTGGGAAAAGAATTCCTTGGGGTGGGACATCATAGAGGAAGTCCCCTCCTTTGTTGCCACTCTTTTGATCTCTAATGGTAGCCCTGCACAGAGAAGATTCAGTGGCTTCATGCAGTTCGCCCTGTGGGAGGTGATACAGGGAAGGCATGCCTTAAGGTACAAGGCCCTAAGCTGTGGACAGCACCAACTAGCCTCCTAAACGCAGCTTGCAATCACACAAGAAACCTGTGACACTAAGAAAATGTGTTCCTTGTGAAGTTTCTCTGCGAAAACCTGTCCTCCTTTATTTTGAACCAATTGCAGTTTGGAAACAGTCTGCGGGTATAACTTCATAAGTACTACATAACGGGAGTCTAAACAGAATGTTACTACAGTATGAATCCCTGTTGCCTGTTTATCCCTTCAAAAGAGAATTTACATCTGCTGTACTCGGCAGGGCTGCTCTATACACCAGAAAGGGGTGGTGGTGGTGGTTAATGGTTACTTCCAAGCTACTAACATGATATTTCAGAATGAGGATAAGTTCATCTCAAAGAGGCTGAACGCCCTTTCCTTGCCTCTTCCCAGATTATGGAGTCATCTATCCATAGCACCTTCCGTTGCACCCACCGAGGCTGCCTCCAAATAATTCCACACTAAGCAGGGGATGGAGGCATGTCTGGCCCTTCAGATGTTGCTAGATTGCCATGTTGCTAGATTCTCATGAACTCTAGCCAGCACAGCTAGTGGTGAAGACTGATGGGAGCTGCTGTCCAGTAGAGACCAAGTGTTCATTAATCCTGTGCTAAAGACTGCACTATTAGTTATTATGAAACTCTGTAAACATGCTACACGGCACTAAGGGGCAATGAAACTGCTGAAACGAACACATTTCTCCCTAGTCAGCAATAGGGTTTATTCAAAGAAAAGAAATATATATGTTTGAGCCAAAGTACATTTGCACTTCCAAATGTGGGTAGTCCTACCTATTTTTACAAGAGAACAAACACTGCACTTAAAAGCTTAGGCTATCCAACATTCAGACATTTGTCTATATGATTACATATTGTAACAGTAAAATCAAGAGGCGAGGCGTGATGGGTACCTAATCAGCCTTGAAACAGGTTTTTCATGCCAAAATGAATGGGAATATGATAGGTACCAGCCTTCCATCTGCAAAAGTCAGCACTTAAAGCTTCTCTTCCAGTTTCAGGCCACAGCAGGTTATTTGGCTGCTGCCAACAAGTGCTCTTTCTTACTCACAATCTCACCTATAAAATGTTCCAGATGCTTTGGATTGTAACTACCATCAGCCTCAGCCAAAAGGGCCAATGATAAGGAATTCTGGACATTATACAGTGGTGTCTTGCTTTACGATTGCCCCGCATTATGACAAATCCGCTTTACTATGATCTTTTTGCAATCGCAAAACGATGGTCTAAATGGGGGAATTTCGCTTTGCGATGATCAGTTCCCTGCTTCGGGAACCAATTCTTTGCAAAACGATGATTTTTCAACAGCTGATCAGTGGTTTCAAAATAGCCACCGGGTAAATAAAATGGCTCCCTGCTGTGTTTAGGGACGGATTCCTCGCTATACAGGCAGCGAAAATGGCCGCTGTATGGAGGATCTTCACTGGACTGTGAGTTTTAAGCCCATTGGAATGCATTGAAAGGTTTTCAATCCGTTTCAATGGGCTTTTTATTTTTGCTTTACGATGTTTTCGCTTAACGGCGATTTTCCTGGAACGGGTTATCGCCGTTAAGCGAGGGACCACTGTAGTCCAAAGCACCTGCAAGCCTTGAGTGTACAGAAAGCAGTCACAGAAGCTCCCACAGACTAGTTGATTACTGTGACTAATTTCAAGGGGGGTGGTAACTGTGTTAAGGTGCTGAAGGAAATACACAGCATCGCTTGCTGATAGTGAAAAGCTCTGAAGTGCCTTCAAGACGAACAACCTTTAAATGTCAGAAGTGTTTGTTAATCACAGCCAACTTCAACAGATGTACCAGAGGCTACAGCCACAAGATGTGTGTGTTACTTGCCATCAAGTCAGAATCAACTTAGGGAGACCCTAACCATGCTTTCAAAGTTAATGAAATATTTAAGGATTGTTGTTGTTTTTACCAGTTCCCTTCCTCCTCCCCTGTGAGTTTTCATGATCCAGAGTGGATTCAAATACAGGTCTTCCGAGTCCTAGTCTGTCACTTTGTCCACTACAGCACCAGATACAGAACATCTACATTACATCTACTTCCATTCTGTGTATTTCTGCTCAGGGCATTCAGGATAAGAACATTAGCGCTAATCTGGAATAACAGCAGAAGCCTGGCCTTCTCCTCCCTGTGGACATTTAGGAAGCAACGCAACCGAAGACGTTCAGGAAAGCTTTCCACAATGACCCTAGGTAAAGGTTCTTGGTGCTGTGAAGATATTTTGCACAGAGATATTTACATGCTGAGTGAGTGAGTGGAAGGTGATTTATTAATAGGAAGATGCATTAAATAAAGCTGATTTATTCAGTAAGGCCTGACAGGCTCTTCCAGTGACATATGAATCAGGCTGTGGTACACAATAACATAGGTAAGCTTTTAAGTGCCCCGCTTGGATTCAGAGCATGGAAAAGCTTTTTTTTTTTTTACTATATCTCCCAGAATTCGCCAGCAATTACCATGCTGGCTGGAGATATATGGGAGTTTTACCTTTTCCAGCTCTAGTAAAGGTAAAGGTAAAGGTTCCCCTTGACAATGTTTTTGTCCAGTCATGTTCGACTCTAGGGGGCGGTGCTCATCCCCGTTTCCAAGCCATAGAGCCAGCGTTTTGTCTGAAGACAATCTTCTGTGGTCACATGGCCAGTGCGACTTAGACACGGAACGCTGTTACCTTCCCACCAAGGTGGTCCCTATTTATCTACTTGCATTTGCGTGCTTTCGAACCG